CCAAAAGTTGTTGAACCCTGAGAAAGCCATTTCAACATGCAGACGCCAAAGGGTGACAGTGCAAAATAGTCCGCAGAAAAGTAGGAAAAAAAACAATGTATTTAAGGTAGATAAAGAAATGTGATATAGAGTGATTATAACCGACTTCAGAAAGTTTCATTTGTGGTGTGTAAAGGGAGCACATAGAAAACAGGTTTGTAGAGTTAAAAACCATCAAACTTGGCAGCTATGTCTCTGCTGTCTGCCTGCTTCTTGTCTTAATCCTTAATGTTACTTTTCCTTTATCACTTCTCAGTTCACTTGATGGAAATTATATAAGTATATACATGCTTAAGTCATAAAAGTAGGGGTTCTCTATTAAGATACATAAATCATGTTTTATCCACTCTTCAGTTTTCCAGATCTTCACAATATAACATATCTAATCTGCGTATAAAGGTCACCAAAATGACTTATTAAGTCAATGAAAAGTTAGACAAATGTATTTGATTTCATTTACTCACAGGAAGTAAATAGAGATTTATAAACTGTTATTCAACTGTTTATTGATTCGTTCATTCATTTAAAATATTTACTAAAGTTTGTACTAGGTCTCAAATACCTGAATATTTGAACACACAAGTTTGATTAGAAGGTTTACTTTTACGTCAAAGCCAAAATAACAAACAAGAATTACAGCTTCAGATACATGTGTAAGTAGAGGGACTGAGAAAATACAGTTGTCTTCCAAGGATTTAAGATGGAGAAATTATTTACTTTTCTTAGTTATAACTGTACCACACAAATACATTATATATTTTGCTTCAATTGCCAAGGTAAGATACGTGCAGGCTTCAGTACAATATTAAGACAGTTCTCATGAAGTAACAACAGTGTCAAATAATGATAATATTATCGGAATACGAACTTCGACATCTGGAAGTAAGTAGTAAAATCATTGGTATGGAAGACAGAAATAAGGAGGTTATTAAGCCATAAGCTTCACCTGGCATCTTTCATTAGAGTCTGAATAAAATTCTTCATTGAAATTTGCAACACTGCTTGTAGTTCATCTTATTACTTTTACAGGGGACAAACAGCCATGTAATTAGAGTGTATTTGCAGTATTACACGCTTATTTGTAGCCTGAAGATTAGATACCAATTGGATGTTATCATTTAATGGCAAGTATAATTACCATGAAGATTGTTCTCTGAATCTAAGAGTTTACGTTTCAGTGGTGCTCCAACTCTACAATTATTTTTCAGTTAGCTTGTGTCTGCATTATTATTTAATAATCATATCCATACAGGGTATAATAAGGCCATTCTAAGTCACTGTTTAAAAAAATGAATCAGCTATACATAAAAAGCACACAATAAATATTTTACATTATGGAGTTTTCTATTTTTATACTAATTTCCAATGCAGTTATGATAACCGTATATCTAGTTTCTTGGGAACATACACAAGTTGCATCTTTAAGGATCTGAAGCTTACTATGGTAACAGCAGTACTGCCATGTGTTTGTATAACAGCACTTAATTTCAAAGTGCCTTCATGAAGATTAAGCCTCATATTATCCTAAGGGGTTAGTAAGAGGCCATTAAGAGCCTCCTTTATCCAGAAGGCAATTTGGGATACACAGAGGTCATGCTCAAAATCCTATGAACAAAGTTGGTGCTAGTAAGTCATAAATAGTGTCCTTTCCACTCAGTTATATGTCGTGGAAGTTAAACAGTGCTGGGGTCATCATTCAAAAATAATCTCTGAAGTATTCATTCATTCATTCATCCATCCATCCATCCATCCATCCATCCATCCATCCATCCATCCATCCATCCATCCACCCACCCAGTCAAAACATGAATGTCAAGAAGTATACAATGCAGCTTACCCAGGGTAAAGCTGACTATGCTAGGGAAGCTGAGAACTGAAGCTAATGTCATCCAGTGCCAGACAGAAGGCAGAGGTTTCAGAAGAGCAGAAGCTAAGAGGGTCTAGGAAGACATTTCTGGAGTCAGTGAATGGAAGCAAATGTGGGACTGGATGAGCCACTGATATCTCTGGACCAGTGGTGGGTTGGTAAATGTTTAACAACCAGCTCTCCAGGGGATCAAAGCCCTGATTGGTAGCATTTGCTGCTTTTCCTGGTGCATTATCCCACCAGGGCTGATTCCAAACTGCCCACATGATGTCCTTAATTGTGGAATTGGGCAGAGGCATACAGTAGCACATGATTATGCAGTATTTCCACCGTACAGATAATATAGATGTAAATAGCCTCAAAACCTTGGATCCTACTAAATGTAAAATTATTAGTTGGTGATGTGTTTTGAGTATTGATTATCTTTGTTTTATGTATCTTTAATTATAAGTTCAAATAACTATTTTGAAAAATGACTTTGTTTACCAGTTGGTCTGAAAAATACCTGAAAATTTGCTTTTCCCAGCTGATGCTAATTAGTCCAGCACACCACTTGTCTAGATTACTACCCTCCTTCCCTTTCCAAAAAGAGAGGAATCCAGATGCTTGGGCTCTGTATTAGTTGTCTAGGACTCCCATAACCAGTACCATAAACTGCGCGGCTGGAGCAATAGAAACTATCGCCTCACTGTTAGGGAGGCTAGATGCCTGAGATCGAGGAGTCAGGGAGTTGGCTCCTGAGGACTGTGAGCAAGGATCTATTCCAGGCTTGTCTCCTAGCTTCTGGTAGTTTGCTGGCATGCTTTGGTGTTCCTAAGCCTGGGCGTGCATCACCTCGATCTCTGCCTTAATGTTCACATGATGTTCTCATTGTGTACATGTCTATCTGTGTTCAAACTTCCCCTTCCTAAAAAGACACAGTAATATTGGACTAGGGCCCACTTGAATGACCTCATCTTAATAACATCTGCAACATTCCAATTTCCAAATAAGGTCACATTCTGAGGTACTAGGGGTTGGGAATTCAGCATATAAATTTGGGGGGACACTTAGCCTTTCTCTGCTTAGCATATTACTATTTCCCTTTCTCTGCTTAGCATATTACTATTCCCCTTGGGAAATAGATTCAAAGTTCATACTGATTCTTCAGGCATGGAGGACCTTACCTGTTCATTCAATTAAACTCCTATTCATTCTTCAGGACCCAACCCAAATTGCACCTGCTGTTTAAATCTTTTCCTGTCCTCCCAAACTTCAAGCCATGGTGGCCGACGTGTGCTTGTGCTCCCTAAGTGGTATGTGGTACAGATGTCTGTTAGAGGTAGAATGTCCTTGTGGTTGAGGGTACAGCATGCTCTGAAGTTGGAGCTGGATTCAAATTAATGCTTCCCTCATTTCCTGGATAAGATGCATACGCTCTATGGCTCCTCTTTCCACATCTACTAAATGTGGGTAATAAAATGAACTTTCAGGTTTGTTTTGAGCATTAATTGAGAGAGTGAATGTCAAGAAGGTAGCATAATGCTTGCTACAAACCAAGTGGTCAATAAATGCTGGCTGCCTCATCACTAATGATCCATACACTTTTTAAGGGGTGCATACAATGTCTATACTTCATGTTTTCTGTGTTACCATGAAGTGCTTAATTCTTAGTAGCCCCAGGCTGTGCCATGCTCATCTTTATCCGCTCACAGACACCTGGCTACTGCTCAATAAATGTTGAATGAACCTACATATTTCTAATGATAATATTTTGTTTGTTGCTGATGGTAAACATCTCATCTTCTGACTCACAGTTATGTCTCCATTATATTCCAGCCTAACAAGGGAATGTGTCTTTTCAAGCTGACCTGGAGTGGAAATACTTCAGCTATGTTTCTGTCATTATATCAACATTAAGTCTAAAATATGACATGATCTCATGGCATATTTTAATAATTGTTATATTTTGAGATAATTCTATGTTGCCATGAAGTTGTAGGAAAGAGCACATAGAGATCCCATGTGCGTGCATTTCTTTAACTTGTTTTTCCCAAGTGGTAACATCTTGTAACACTATGGTATAATATTACAACCAGGATACTGTCATTGATACAGTTAAAGTACAGAACAGTTTCATCATCATAAGGACACTTCATGTAGCCCTATTAGCCACACCAATTTTTGTGCCACACAAATTATTTTGCTCTACCATTTTACATTCCCACCAGCAATGTATGAGATTCAGTTTTTCTGCATCCTTCCCAACATATGCTATTACCAGTATTTCTTATTTTATCCCTTTTTATAGGTAGGTAGACATATCTTCTATGGTTGTAATTTGCATTCCCATAATGGCTAATGATATCAAACATCTCTTCATGTGCCTGTTTGCCATCTATGTATCCTCTTCAATGAAAAGTCTCTACATGTCTTCTGCCTATTTTCTAATTGTATTTTGGTTTATTGTTATTGAGTTTTGAGAGTTCTTTATATATACTAGTTACTAATCCTTTGTTGATATGTGGTTTGCAAATACTTTCTCCCAGTCTGTAGCTTGTCTTTTCATCTTCTTACCAGTCTGAGGCAGAGCAAAAATTCTTAATTTTGATGAAGTCCAACTTCTCAATTTTCCCTTTTATAGGTGTGCTTTTGTTATCAAGTCTAATAACTCTTTGCCTACCCTATATTTTAAAGAGTTTTCTCCTATCTTTTAGTAGAAGTTTTATAGATTTATGTTTTACATTTAATTCCATCATCCAGTTTGAGTTAATTTTTATATAAGGTGTGAGACTTAGTTTGAGGCTCCTTTTTCAATTTGCTTAAGGCTGCTCAATTATTTTACCACCACTTGCTGAAAATTCTATCTTTCCCCCATTGATTTGCTTTTGAATCTTTGTCAAAAATCAGTTGTTCATATTTGTGGGGGTCTGTTTCTGGGTTCTTTATTGATTTATGTGTTTATCCCTCTGCCAATACCACATAGTCTTGACTACTGTAGCAATAAAATGAGTCTTGAAACTGGGTAAATTATTCCTACTTTATTCTTTTTCAGATTCCTTTAACTATTCCAGATTCTTTGCCATTCCATGTAAAATTTAAATAATCTTGTCTATATATCTATCTATCTCTCTCTCTCTATATATATACATAAACCTTGCTAGGATTTTGATAGGAATTGCATAAACTATATACAGTTTGGGGGGAATTGATATCTCTACTGTATTTAATTTTCTAATTTACAAGCACAGTGTGTTTCTTCTTTTATTTAGGTCTTCTTTGATGTCCTTTATCAGCATTTTATCGTTTTTCAGCACACAAACCCTATACATATGTTGTTAGGTTCCCACCCTAAGCATTTCATTTTATTTATTGATTGAAACTGCATTATATTTTTAATTTAGCTATCCATGTTATAGCATAAAGAAATACAATTGAGTTTTGTATGTTTGTATGACTTTGTATGTTCTTGTAACCTTGTTGCCTTGTTGACTCATGAAGTTATTAATTCTGGGAGGGTTTTTTTTTTTGGTAGATTCCTTGGGATTTCATTCATAGACAATCACGCAACCTACAAATAGAGAGAATTGTATTTCTTCTTTATTTTTTGATCTGTATGCCTTTTATATCAGTTCTTGTATTATTATACTGCCTAGAAATTCTTGCCAGACCTTCTGACTTGCCACATAGTCTTCATTAATACCATGGGTGGAGTCTCATTATGTGCCAGTGAGGGTGGAAGTCCAGATTCCTCACTCAGCCTTTCCTGGTGAGAGTGGGAGTGGAGCCATAGTTTTATCTCTGTTGTTGGCATGGAGCAGAGCAGTTATTTGTCTGAACCTTTTCTGTCTAGCTAGGCTGCCCTCTTCCTGGGCTTTTAGAAAGATCAAGTTCTTTTTGTGTGTGTCTGGGTGGCTTTTTTTGTGCACACCTCTTGATATCTCCAGATTGCTGAGTTCCCTGGCACGCAGCCTGGGATATATGACACAAAACAAAAATCCAATAAATTATTGACATGCTGTTTCTTGGTCCTGAGGCTAGCAGGTTTGTCTTCCTCTGTACTTGTTACTTACTTCTTATGTTTGTTTTATATGTAACTTCCAGAGTTTTTAATTGTATTTATTGGGGAAATAGAGAAAATATATCCACGCTCTCTTCCTGGAAGTAGTGGTCCAACGTTGCAGTGTTAAAGATAAGGTGCTTGGATCCATTTCTAAAGGTATAAAAAAAGTTTGCTCAGGTTTCATAAATAATCCATCATTCTTTTGACAGGTGTGATAGTATCAGATTTTTAAATTTTAATTGAAAGAGAAAATAGCAACTACTAAGATTACCAGTAACAAAATAGTAAGAAGGACTTATAAAGTTCTGAGTTTCTATAGTAAAAAAACATCATGTAATTAAGGAGATAAAAGGCTAGATAATAGCATATGGTGTTTTATCAACTCGAAAGACATTCATAAAGTACTTAAAAGTCCACTCTTTTGTGGGAGTATATGAAAACCATTGTGGGGATGAGGATCTGGCCTTCATCTGTACACCTCAAATATTGCTTCTTTCGAGATATAGAAGTCAAAAATCTTCTTCAGAGAATATATAAGACAAATGGGTTTGAATTCTGGGTTAGTAGCTTTTTAACCTCAGGAAGTTTTAAAATCTTTCCTTATCTGTAAATCAGGGTGTGGGTGGTTGTGAGGATTAATTGAGATAATGTACAGGCAATTCAACAAATTCCAAAACATAGCAGGTACCACTCTACAAGTGGTAGACCATTGTCTTTAACATGATTAGGTTTGTTAAAAAAACAAGTCAACAAGCCAAAATGGAGTTGCTTATGCTAAGCCCCCTGTCACCCAAATGAAACTTAATTATAGTTTAGGTCGTCCCAGAAATGGAATCTTAAACCAGTCAGTCAGGAATCCCCTGATCAGCGCTAGTTATGTTTGGCCTGATAGGCAGGCCTCCTGTAATGTCCTGAAGGAAAGTAACTTCGTAAGAACCAACCCCACTTTTTTGCCAGTATAACTTCCTTGTTCTTCCTGCCTTCTGTCTATTAAAGTATTTCATTTGTAATAGCTCCTGGGAGGTACTCTACTGTCTGTCTGTTAGATTGGATGCTTCCTTATTTGAACTGCTTTTTGCTCAAAAAAACTCTTAAAATGTTTGATATGCCCCACTTTATCTTTTAATAGGGTTCATGTTAATTCAGATGAATTACATCCTATAGTCCTGGGCAAGGGTCTTTGTAATTGGCCATTTTGGAATAATATGCACTCAGGAAGAAAATTGCTTTAAAAAACTTGGGAACAGAGTATAGCCTACATAGAAAAACAACCAGCCTGAGACTCACTATTTAAAAATAATTTCTTTGACTATCTACACAGAGAAGATGGAAAGAGAAGGCAAAGTTCTCTCATTAGGTGTCTACTGAATAGGCCACATTGAAAACTTTAAAACAAAGTAATTTTATGCCAACTTCCTTTTAAAACAATGATAAAAATTCTTTACATTTGTATACTGCTTTGCAGTTGACAAAGAGCTTTCATATACATTATCTGGTTTCAAAGAGACTGGAAGGCGCCTCTCCCTCTCTGATGGATGTGTATGAATGTACTACTTTCCCCTGGGCTGCAGTCATCAATAGTCAATGAGAAGAAAAGCTGGTGTTTTTAGAAATGCTTGGCTGCCAGGTAACTGCATTAACTCTGCTCTTGCTGAATGGAGCCGGGTATTAACTGTGCCACAGGATACCATCCATATCAACTAATGAATATTTGACTTTTTGTTCCTATGAAGCAGTGTGGAGACGCATTCCTCTCTGTGTACCTGGTGCCCTCTCTCGGGACCCGTATCTCACTGAAGTTCTGTCTGACGGCGCTCACCATTTCAGCAAAACCTGCCCTGAAGACACTTAAGTCCTAAAGAGAAAAAGAGTAGAAGGTACTTAAACAAGTAAACTGCTGCATGGAATGAGGCCCGCACTGTTCTGAGGATAGAAAATTATCATAGTTGTGGAGGCCAGGGGAGGCATATCTTGCCTCCACGTAAAGGACGTCCGTAGTGGGAGTTGGGTGTGCTAATGAGGTCTCTGTCGCGTAAGTATTTAACCCAAGTCTGGATAGGACAGACATCTCTTAGAAGAGCTTGCTTTACTGTTCGGGAATCAGGGATAGAGGATTTCTAAGGTCTGTTCTGATTCCAGGTTCTCTGCTTCTGAGATTCCTGTTTGTTCTCTGACTGTTTCGTGTATAGGGAACCACTCTTTACATCTTCTGTATTTCTCTTGATGCCAAGCAATGTTCACAGCCTGTTGACTGAAAACTGAGGCAGAATAAACAAAACAAAAAACATGTCATGCTTCCTAGGAACGTTAGTAGGAGCAGAGGTGGAACTGAAATGGGTGAAGCACGGGCCTTCTCAGTAGTGCTTTAGTTATAGGACTTATTCACCCTTATCCACCATTTCTAAACTCCAGATTGATGCCTTTGATATTTTTCCACCAAAATACCTAAAGCTTCAGCCTGGTCCCAGGTTTCAACAGGCCAGTTGTGCCCAGCTGCTGTAATACCACATACTGTGGTCTGCCGGTTCCCATTTGAGAACAAGCAATTCCCTCTGTGACTGAGCCATATCGACACATTAGGATCTGTTACTTATCATGACCCACTTCCAGGAACTATTTTTGGAATTGGTCATCTGTGTGTCCTGTGGCAAGTGGCCTACCACTATATACATACATACACATATATATATACACACACATACACATACACTTGTTGAATAAATGAATGAGTGAACGAATGGATGAAAAGAGTGAAACAACAAAGCATAATTGAAAGAATATGGATTTTAGAATCGGATAGAGTCTCACTCAGATCTGAGCTCTGCCATCTTTTAGTACGGTGTAGATTTATACAAATTACTTAACTTTTAAGCCTCAGTGTCTGTTGTAAAAATCAGAAAATATTATTTATCTGTCAGCATTGTTATGACAATTAAAGATGTATTTAAAATATCTGGTTCTGGTAGAGGCTCAAAAAATGTTACTCTTAGTTGCTATACAAAAAATTGTGTTAATTGTTAAGGATATACGATGAAACTGTTGAGAGGGAAAGAAAGAAGCATGAGCAGATGACTGCATTCAAAATAGGAAAATAAGCTTTAGAGGTGGGTACAGTGTGCTGTGGGAACACAGGGGAGGGCCATGAGGTGAGCAGAGATGCCACACTGCACAACTGCAGAAACTGCAGGCACGTTATAGCCTGTATGAATGGAGGGCACTGCCCAGCTGCCAATCACATAAGCTTATTGGCTGAACCCCATAAAACTGCTGACACTCAACTACGGTGACATGAAATAAAAATGGGAATGTGTCCCCTGGATCTTACTTACATGGAGACACCTTGTGTGGGGAAAAAGGAAGAATCAGAGATTTTTCTAGAGGCAGTCCCATCCCAGATGAGCCATGGACTCTGAGAAGGAGTCACGGAGGCGAGGAAGGGGTGAAGCCACAGTCACGGGGGCGGCAGACGCGATGCAAGGGAGGCTTGACAAAGTATTCTGAGGGACAAGAAATTCAGCATTTCTGAGGGTGGAGACTGAGGCAATGTGAGAAGCCCGTAAAGCTGGAGAGGGGGGCAAGTTCGGGCCATTCAAATGCTATAAACACTATAGTCTTGAAGCAAAATTACCTAGTGACTGTGGGGAGGACACTGGTTCTCGCATCCTGAATAGTTCTGTTGGTAGCTGATTCGCTGTCCCCTCCACTGTGACCTTCTCCACTCTTCAGTCTAAATTAGGTCCTCCCTTTAATCTATTGCAGGCCACTTATTTTTTCATTCATATTCACTGGCCACAGTTTTAAATTATAAGCAGAGTTACTTGTTTACCTACAGAACAAACTACAGGAGGGCAGAGACCTTTTCCAATTTGTTTTAAATTACCTAACCCGTGCCTGGCACAGTGCCTGCAACTAAGTAAGCAGGGGCACAATAAATACGGGTTGAAGCAATGAATGGATAATAAATAAGAATTCTCCTAGTCTGCTATCCCCATACCAATTCTCCCTGCTAAAAATACTTTAGGAAGTCCATTTGAAGGAGCCTACAGGAGAGCTGTCACTAGCACTTGTGCAATTACCTAATTTATACAAAAGGGGACCCTTTAGCTCAAGTACCAGATGTGGAAGGAGATAGCCCCCTTTCCTCCCAACGTCTGGGTGCTCTGACCCAAGCCTGTGATGCCAGGTGTCAGGGAAGGGTTGCCTGGCTGCGTGCCAAGACAGACAGGTACGAGGAACAGTGTTGCATCTTTTTCTTAACATGTGAATTCAAGGCCTCTTAGCTAGAGATGAAGAGGTTTGAGTGTTGGAGTAATAAATGAAGAAAACATCTTAACATTTTACTAAACCCAAGGCCAGTTGTAAGTCAGTTACAAGAACGCGGTTTGCCGTTCAATCTGGCAGGCACGGGGATACTGTGAGAACCTGGATTAGATCTTCTCCAGCATCATTAGCCTCCGAAGGGAGTGGTGGTGTCCCTATCGTTTGCCTCTGGCTTATCAGTATCAAGTATCCCCTTGCTATGCTGTAGAGACGAGCTTTTTCACTTTAAAACTATAGGCAAATCTGTAACACTTCCCTCTTGTTTTCAGTTTTGAAACTTATGTTTAAATTACTTCAGTGGAAAAAAGGGAGACAAAATGCCCACCTCACTGTGAACAGAAACTGATTTCCTAAATTCTTTTGCAACTTACGTAGCTGTCAACTTGCATAACGTATCAAATGCATTTTCCTCCCCTCAAATGCACAAATTTACTTTCAATGAAGACTAACATTTAATATCAAATATGTGATGAAGTGAAAGATAAAACATTTAAATTGTGGCAAGATAATATTCATTCAAATAAAAATGTTTCTGAAAGCCTGGTATTGGGGATTATTCCGTGTTGTAGGTCTAAGCTTTGCACAGTCACAATGTCTCCTCTTTTCCCCCAAAGACAAAATCCATTCATTGTCTTGGGCATTTGAAACAAACATGTAATGCTAATCTTACAGTGATCAAAGTTTCCGTATTGAGCAGAGTTTGGAAGAGAACCTTATATTTGTAATATAAATATGTAAATTCTTTCAATATTGCAGCTTGTAAGAGGCATCCCATAAACTTTCTTTCAAATTATTTTTCTTTTTCCCAAAAATGTTTCTTTTAGGGGGTTCTTTGTTAGTGTTTCAGCCAAATTAGCTTTGGCTCTCATAGAGTTGGATTAGATTTGATGCTATATTAAAGTGTAATAGTGAAAAGCCAACTAGATTAGGGAATTGAAAGTCCTAAAGTTGCATAAAACAATGTTATCTTGTTTTTCACAGAGTCGGTGAAGAAAACATTATTATCAGTAGTCAGCTCAGCTGAAAATCCTTGGGGAAGATCCTACCCAACATAACCCTACTCTGGACCAGAGACGCTGGTGTCTCAGATTTAAGCACTGGGACAAAAGTAGTTGCTTTTCAGACAGTTGCTAGTGGAAAATGTACTTTAGTCACTAGCGAGAATTAATGAGGATCCTTACCTGGTAAGCTGAACAACTGAGAGTGATTTGGAGCCCAGAGAGGAAAGTCCACCAAGTGAACCTTTAAAAAGCAGGCCCTCTTCTCCAGGAATTCTCAGATTACATCCTCATCCACAGAGCTGGAATGACCCATCGCTGCCCTGGAGACTGCATGAGAAAAGAGTGAATCGTCTAGCACCAGACTTATTTACAGAATAAGAAGGCAGGAGACACCAGATGCATCTCATTAGGAAGCTAGCCAGTTAGCCCACACTTCCCTTGCATAGCCCTTAAAATTGCAAGGTGTGTTTCACTAACCTAAAGAGTTTGGTTTCCTGCCGCAGGGGTATAGGGGTTCTGCAGTTTCTGCTTTCCACGAGCTTAAAAGGTAGCTGCGAGGTTTTGACCCTCATACTCTCTGAACTCAGTGGCGCGGTTCCACAGAGGCAGGACCCTTCCTAGCTCACAATATTATAACCCTTGGAGAGAAGAGAAAGAAGCCAGTGCTGGTAGGAAGGCAGGCGGGATTGTGATGGGCCCTAGGGGAGGGGAGGGCAATTAACTCCCTTCCTCCACTGCAGAGAACCTGGTTTCTCTTGATCTCGAGTAGACTCCAGCCAGTGGCCGGGATTCTTTACAGTGAGTGAAAGACAGGGAGGCGGCAATACCAAAGAGGGGGGACCTGCCCCGCTCCGGCCTTCAGAGTGAGGGAACTTTCATAATGAGGCCTGTGGATAAAGGACTGCGATCCTTTACAGCGGAGGGAAGTGCAAATAGGGTGCGTCGGAGCTGATCTCTCGGAGCCACTTCACCTCTGAACAGGTTCGGAGCTTTCAAGCCCCTTGAAGTTTTAAAAAGGCACTGATTTCAGCATGAGATGTTTGCTGCACTGGGCTCAGCTGGAATGAAACGAAGGGGAGGAAAAGTAGCTTCTTTCTTGCATTCAGAAAGCAGAGGCCAATTGAATGGATTCTGCTCAAACTGATTGCGTTTGTAGTTTCTGAAAAAAAAAAAAAGCTAAGAAGTTTAAATCCTATTCACTAAGTTCACAAAAACAAAACCAGGTCACAGAAGGACTCTGAGAAGTGCACACATCCTCACCAGAGATGGACAATTTAAAACAAGCTTCATTAAACAAGTCCTTTCAAACTGGCTTCTTAATGTAATTCAGTAGCTCGTACTTCTCTGCTGTGGTTTAAGGGCTTTCTTTACTGTAAGGCTAGTTTAAGTGAAATGTTCTGCACGATTTTGGAAGTTTACAAGGCTTTATTGATTTGTGGAGTTAGAAACCAGAAATCTTTTCCTATTTCCTCTTTAAATAATAGAATATTTTTGTATCTCTCCTCCACCTGTCAATTATTACACACTATATAACGTAGAAGCTGGCCCAAGGGTTGCAAATTGAAATCTGGTTATTTTTTATTTGTTTGCTCATCCTGGTCATTTGACATCTCCACTTGGTCGAAATGCATAGGACACAGACAGGGGCTCTTCCTTGCCTCTCTTTTGCTTGCTTATCTTTTGCTTATGTAAAATGTTATACTTTTATCCAGTCCCTTAATTCATGCAATGGTTTAAAGCTTACTTAGCTAGTGGAGTCTCCTTTACGTCTGTCTGTTTTAGCATGCTTACCTTGGTCTGAAGGTCTCCAGAGGTCAGGAAATTGGATATTACCTCACTTGGTACAGGCCCTGGGAGAGACTGTATATGGCCTTCAGCTTAATAAATGCTTTTAGATGATGATGACAGTGATGAGTGAATGCCATCTCACTGGTATGAGGAACCTTGTAAAGAGTGGGTCACATGTGTATGATAGGTTGGAGTTTACATTTAAGGTGAAGCCTGGCCTCATTCAGGCTACGAAAGTACTATATAATGTCTAAGAATAGGACTGCATTTAGTTAAGTGATCTGAAAGAGTCGTCAGGTTGCTTAGTTAAGGTCCAGAGAGGTGTTTCCAGTTTTATCTAATTTTTGAATCCATATAAAATAAACTGGGCACAGAACAGCATTTTATAATGTTTGCCAATATATTAGAGATCTCTATTTTATCAATTACATTTAGAAACGCCTTTGTGGTCCGTAGTTGATGATGTGTGTGTGTGCTGTGGTGCAGTTTCTCATTTTTATCTGCATTTTCCAGATTAGGAAAACTGCTTCTGTGCTGGAATCACCCAGGGAAGTAAGATTAGAGGTGAAATTAGAGCTCATATTCCATTAAGTACTAAGCCACTAGTTTTCGTATTGAACAGCAACCATTGATAGTTAGTTGCTTTTCTTTTTCTGTTTCCGTGATCCTGACATTCCATTCAGGTACTGCTAATATCTAGGCATTTTCTTAGCACAGGCAATGGGCCAGCTTGAAGAAAACAATATAGGTCTATGTAAATGGTGGTAGATATGCTGTGTGAGTGGCTGTGTCCCTTGTAAGATGCTTCAGGAAGTGTTGCTGTGGTAAATAACGAGTGGCTGGTGGAAATCAGAGTCGTTGTAACACTCAATGCTACCAAACAGGAGCAATGTAGAAATAGAGGAGGGGCACACCTGCTCCCTGCATACTCCAAGTTGGCTTTCTTTTTTAAAATTTGTGGAAAATATTACTGGTATAAGTTGTTACATCTTCTCTCTTTCATATTATTACTAAAGAGACCAAATTTCAAATCTAGGTTTGGAGGCAGTCTTAGACAACTGTATCTCTAGATCTACCTTACCAAAATTCCTATGCCAAATTGTCTTTCAAACCTATCAGATGAGAAATATCTCATCAAATAATGAATATACAGGAAGTTCTTCTCATAATGGTCAAACTAGATGCAGGAAAATTCTTTCATCCCCAGTAGCATTTACTCAAGAAGTCTGAAAGAATTGAAAAGGGCTTTAGTCTGGAGAAATGACAGCTGACACTTGGTTGGAGATGACAAAATCATGTAGGGATGTTTCCCATTAATAAAAGAAAGAAAAGGAAATTTTTTTCTTCCAATATTCTCTGCCCCTAGTGAATGACTGTGTACTTTGAGGCATTATATTTATCTTCACACTCTAAGATTTTGGTGTAGGTCTGACTCAAGTTATCTATTTATCTCACTGGATGGCTTCTCACATTAAACAATCTTCACACTGAGGTTCTTTCATCAGAATTTAAAAAACAATTGTTAAAGTATTTTTATATTTTTAGCAAAAGAAAGCATACACTTAGTTAAAAGGAGCCAAATCTCAGACTTCTCCATAGAGGCATTCAATACCAGGTGATGATGGAGTATTTCTACAAAGTTTTGAAGGAATGAAAGAAAACTAAGTTATCAGCAGAGAAAATGGCAATAGGCAGGTAATTCCAAACATGAAAGAACTCAGGGACTGTGGTACTCTTGAATCCTTCATGAAAAAAATGCTTGACAATGAATTCTAGCTAATTAAGAGATAAATCAAAATAAAAAACTTGGGAATTCAGAGGCTGTGATAAAAAGGACTGATGGTGTTTGAATTTGTTTAAATATAGAAGTAAAGACTAAACAGCTGAGAGAATTATTGCTATAGAACAAAATGAGAATGTTATTAATCAGAACAGTGTAAAATTAGTATAAAGATAATTGGAAAGTGTGGGAAAGGGAGATGTTCTCATATTTCTAAGTAAGAGTCTACTGATATTTCTAATATTGAAATATATATAAAAACATTTATGACCCCCCAGTTATTTTTTTTCATATCCACTCTCCCACACCCCCACTACTCTTCCAAGCTTAGAGAATTCTAAATCTTATGGTGAGAAACCATGTATTGAAAATCAACCATTCCTGTTGTTTTGCTTCAGCTTCTCTTTCTGCTGTTCAAGTAAAATAAAATTTAATGCTTTGTTGTTAAAAATATCTATATATGATTCCATTTTAACAAAAAACAGTATCTACATCTTTCTACCATCTATCATCTACCTAGTTACTGTCTCCATCCTTATCTATTATAGCTGCACAAGATCTAGAATTGTGTTCCCTTAATGTTAATATCAGTAATTTTCAGATGGTAGGAATTTGGAAGTGGCTTTTTACTTCTCTGTATATTTCTGCATTACTGAATTACTTTAAAATTGATATCAATTTTTAACAACACCATTGAGGGGAATTTAAAAAAGGTTACATTACCTTTCTGTCCCACCCTCCAAAAAACAAGAAAATATTTCTATATATTAGCAGAGATTAATATTAGGCTTGGCAATGTGGATAATTGTTCCATCTTTATACTTTTCTGCATTTTTTAGATTAAAATAAAAAGGGTCCTGTCACAATCCTTTTTTACTCATGGTTTCAGAGACCCAACAATTTGTAACTCTTTTGGATATTTCTTCTGTTATTTATAGACATACTTAAATTTGCAGTACTTTCTTGATCTTAGACATTATCTACCTATTTTCCAATTTTGCAATAGACACTATGTCTTCTTTACACCTTCTCTCCCCTACCCTTACCATATGTCCTCTTTTACCTTCCTCTAATACAATTATATTGCAATTTTTGTTAAAACTCAGTGTATATATTATAAATAACTGCATAAATGTTATGTTTGGGCCATGGGGGGCTATAACTATTTTTCTCCCTGCTCACATGATCTTTCATTTTTTCTGAAGTTAATGATTGCTTCATTTAAAAGTTTAATTTTCTATATGCCTACTCCTATTTTCCCCAATGTTCTCATTGATTGAGTGCTTAGCAATAATTATTCCAAAATGCTCAAACATATTATCCATCGATTATATTTCTGTCTTATCCCTTATGCATTTATTTATTTATGTTTTACTAGAGGTCTCTATTCCTCAGTTCTCCAAATTCTTACTCCAAGATAGACTATTCATCCATTGAAAATTCCTTTCATTGTTCTCTTGTATTAAATCCCTTTTTCCTGGCTCTTACATCTCCTTCTTTTGGAGTACTCTTAAATTTCATAGAGTACTGACTTTAGTCACTTTCCAAGAAACAGCAAAGTTTTGAAAGGCTGCATGCTTGAAATTACCTTAGTCAGCCCATGTATTTGCTTAGTAGTTTGACTGGTCACGGGATTCTAGAATGTTCCAAAGTCTTTTGGCCTCCAAGGGTGATATTGAAAGTCAGATGTGAGTCAGATAAATAATCCCTTACAAATCACCAGACCCACCTCTCCAGAAGATTTAGGGTCTTCTCTTTATTCTCACTTGTTTGAAATGATGTGATGGTAGCATGTGGTGTGGGTTCTTTGTGACTTAGAGGACTGGTGCTTAGTGGACCCTTTTAGTCATCACGTCCATATCTTTCCATTTGGGGAAACTTCACTGTATTTTTCCCCCAATTCACCTTTTCTCTCTTTCTGCAACTCCTCATTTCTGGTGTTGCACTTCCTGAGTGGATCATCTCAATTTTTTTTCTTCAATTGCACCATTCCTCTTTTGTT